TGAGGGAAAACCTGGACACTGTAGCCACAGGAAACACCTTCAGAAAATGGGCATTCTTCAAGAAGAACCCATATGCAGACTTTGTGACGAGGAGGATGAAACCGCCACCTACATAATCTTTGAATGTGAGGCTTTACGCTGGTGGAGATACAGATAGATAGGGCCAGAAGATCTCTTACTCACCAAAAGTAACTTGGTGAAGAGGGTTTAGGAGGCAAAACCTTTTAGAGGTGCCACATTCTTTGGTGCCACGTATATAAAATGGAAAGTTTGTAGGTACTTACCTATTAACCAAATTACAAAAAAAAAAAAAAATTCACCGGAAAATTCTTTGTACCAGTGCTAAATTTCGGGGGGGGGGTTTTAACCCCCAAAACCCCCCCCCCCTTGGGTGCGCCACTGCTTATCCATGATGGACCACCACCACACTGAAAAAAGTCAGCATTAAAACTCAAGTCCTATGTGACTTTGAGGCCAGCATTATACTATTCAAGAGACTAGTCTTGCGAATTAAGAACGGTATTTGGTGTTACGAAACTCTTCATAACAGTAGAAATTCTTTCTTAATATTTAAGTCAAGTATATCAAGACACATGTCTTTATTGTTAAGAAACTTTTTCCTATGAATACATTTTTAAGGACTGGGATACATTTAAGCACATGCTTTCTTTAATATTATGAATATTGTCGTAGGTAATACCATAAGAGCTCAGATTTAGCCGGATATTTTTTGGCTTGGTCTCGAATACTTACTTTTAGGAAATTTAAGAGAGCTGTTCCGACAATCACGAGAGCGCAGCTCGAGTGATTTTGTGGAACAGATCGAGATAAATTGCATGAAAGTAAGTATAAGAGAGCAAGCAAAAAAATATCCTGCTCAAAATCTGAGCTCGAATGGTATTTAGTACGGCAATTCCACGAATGCATAATCAAAATAAAATATGGAAATACTTTTTAAAATGAACAGTTATTGAAGGTACAATTAGAATAAATATTTTCCCCTTATAATTTGAATCTACAGAAAGAGAAGAAGACTCTGTGTTCTCAGGAATTGAATTTTCTATTTTGCTATTAATTCATCTTTAATTGTCCCAAATCGCTGCGTGTTGAAAATATTTTTAATTTTATTTAAAAATACACTTTTAATAAGCTAAAATGATAGAACTTGTGAATTTTTGTGACAATTATTTGACAGATGATTCAAAAACCAATTTTATATGCAATTGTTACTACGGTAACGACTTCATCAACAGCAGGCCCTGCGATCTCTCATTGCCAGTTATAAACCACATAATAACTCTTTTCCGTTTTTCTAGATGTCGCTGACGCTGACAACCACAGAATTGTCAAAATTGTAAAATACCAGCTCATCAAGAACATGTCCGATGTCGATAACTGACATGTCAACATATGACAATATGCCAAAATATTCATTTGATCATAACTAATAATTCATAATGTATTTTGTTCGTCGGTCTTGCATTTCATCTTTCTTTGTGTCGTCAAGTGTTCTTAAGTGATTTCAAAGTTGTTTTGTGTGTTTCAAGAAGAACTTCAAACTTTATAGATTGGAAGATCTATTTTTATCTTTGTTGATTAGATAAATGACAGGTTCAATTAAACATCAATCAGAACTTTGAATAAATATGTTAAGGATACCCTTAACCATCGATAAAGAAACTGTCTTTTGATCTAATTAACAAATTATCAATTAATTCAAGCAAACATTAATGCCCCAAAGTCTAGAATAAACGAATTTGAACAGACCGACAGTAATGCGAACAGGGCGCCATCTATCATAAAAAGTCCTATGTAAAGTAAGTGTCTGTAGTATCGATGCAAAACCAGTAAATAGTGATTTTCCGATATGGTAGATGGCGCTGTCTTGGCTCAATTTTGTTGACAACAAAATTTACACTGAGATTCCATTCTCCACAGTTTATATAGTATTTATCTCTGATCAACAGAAAATTTATCCGATTTTTTTATCCAGTTATATTTTCTCTTCCTTCCTATTTATCCGCTAGCAAACTACGATTTTTGACATTTCAAATGGGATTATTTATACATGAGTGGAATTGTCGATTATATTAAATCCTCGAGTTGTTACTTCAACAGCCATTGAAAAGGTAAAAGATGCTGGCACAAGGTCACACGGTAAGGTACTGCACAACGTCTTCCAACAAAAACCATCTTCATCAGTCTATATTTTTTGCCTTTCGCGAGCGTACAGTTTGTGTTCTAATTATTCCAAAATCGTCGATTCGAGATTTTTTTCAAAGAAAAAATATAAAAATGGCATGCAAAGAATTTCTTGAAGCGATAGGTCTGGGGCATCACTTAGGAAATTTTGAAGGTAAGTCCTTATATATAATAATAATTTACATTTTATTATTTTAGTAGGTATATGTGCATTATGCCATTAGTATAATCATTAACAGAAGATAGTTAACAGTAACCTGAAAAACCATTTTGAAGGCATCCCAATAAGCATCATTTTCCCATACACGATATTCATTTTTTGTTACTTAATAATGAAGAGATTGCCCTTAACATAATGTAAGCTTCAAACTGTGATATTGAATTGCAGTTTGTAGCATTATAAATAGAATCCTTACTTAAATTATAAATACTTAATTTTATTCTTTCTTTGGTATTTTAGAAGAAGCCATTACCCCAGAAGTTTTGCTGTTTCTCGACTCCGACGCCATTGCGAAACTTTTACCAAAATTAGGGGAAAGATTCGTAATGGTGAGAAAATTGGCGGAAATCAGAGAAAAACAACGCGTAGAGAAGAACCACGTCTAGAGAAAAAAATCTTTCTCCTAATCTTCCCATTATTGATGCGACACTTAATATTTCCACCTCACCATCAGAGCAAGCTGAAGCATCATTATTGAGTATTTAAATTATGAATAAAAGTATGTACGTCAATGACTTCATCTTATTCTGCAATGTTCTAGATATAACTAGAAGACATCGAGGGCAAAACCTACTCTATTTAACACCGAAAACGCAACAAATAATGACAATAATTTCCGCGAATGTTTCCAAGAAGAGTATGATAATAATAATTATGACATCATAACCCAGTGTAAGTTTTAGTACCCCATATGTTTATTCATTTATGGTTAATTCATTTTTATAATTTGTAGATTGAATTTGCACAGCGTAAGTCTCATTGAAGAACTTCTGGCATCATCTATCAGTGTTTGCTTCAACACCAAAGAGATCTGTTCTAGATGATTTGCATAAGTACCTACATTTTTTGTAATAAAACTATGAAAAAATATTCTTTGTGTATCATTCAACATCCAAAGTCATAACTTTTATTATGAGTTGAAGTTTATGTAGCGCTGATTTATATCATAAAGTTTCCAGTAATACATGCTAAGTCTTCAGTATCAATAGAAAATGCAGGTATATTTTTAAGAAAGTCAGGACGACTTGACTATTAATGCAGGATGATGTTATCTTAAGCTCTCAATGGAATTAAGATTAGCTCAAGGTACTTTGAGAATTTCAACTGCAACACGTTTTCATAGTAAAGACTCATAAATTACCTCATATCCGAAGTTTCAGCTACTTCATAATAAAGAAGTTGCAGTCATATTTTTATAGCTAAGTTTTTTCAGTGCTCCTCAGCTTTCAACAACTCCTATAGGTACTTCCAGGACCGAGAACCGCGAATATGAAGAGCATGAACTCTGGTCTGAATGAATATGATTAGTAGGTACTAATTGCTTCCTAATGCTTATAGGCCGGTTTACCCATCTTTCGATAAACTTACTGGCAACTATATCTACAAGACAAATTTGCCAATCAATAATCCTATTGGTCGACAAATAATACTGGCCTACCAATAGGATTGTAGATTGCGTTTTTATCCGTCAAATATTCCTGATAGTTGATCAGAAGGTGAATAAGCCGGGCCTTAGTTTCTCTTTTGAGCAGCCGTTTTCATCTTATCACAAATTAATGTTATAGATCAGAACTTACCATCTATCTACAACTGAACGTTGGTGCTTCAAATATTCCTGCTATGTATGGAACTAAGCAGGCGATTTCTAAAAACCGGAATATCTCTGAAAATCAAGGGTTGCTAATTTGGGGATTGAAGCACATTGAAGCACTAACGAAGCACTGAACGAGTACGTGAAATTTAACTTTTGTGCTTCAAGTGCGCCTGCCCACTTCACAGAGGCCGACAAGAGATGGTTCACGAAACGTAAAATCTAAAACCCCTGTAGTAGAAAAAACTCAGAGTAGACCAGCAAAATTGTGAAAAGGAAATTAAACGAAGGAGCATTCAAAGTTAAAATAGCCAGAAAGAAGTCGGCTTATTAACAGACATTTTTATATATAAAAAAAAGGCCTACTTTTATTGGGCATAAGGATAAATTCAGTCTATCAGATTTAAACTCAACGATATCATTATAAGAAAGCATCTTCAATCATTCCATCACCATTCTGATAACTTTATGTACATAATTGTACCAGAAAAACAACGATTGTTATTATTTATCAAAAATTAAAGGTGGAAATGAGAGTTGTAGAATAAGAGGATTGTTGACAATGGGGCGGATGCAGCTTTAACGGACTATAGAGGTTTTATTTTGATGGAGTGAAAACAAGTAAAGGAATGTAATATTTATCTTAGAAGAATTATTATTGATTAAACAAATGTTGCACTAACATATTACATAAGTATTCGGGGTGGCCTTATCCCTATCGAAAACATGAAACACTAGCAAACATTATCTGATTGTGATATCATATTTTTCCATGTTCCAAGCTCTTCCTCATTCTTTTTTAAAATAGGTAGGTATGTAATTTAATTGGAAACCCAATATGTACAATGAAAATCTGGGTGAAAATAAAGCAAGCACGATGAAAAAATAAACCAACTGGTAAATATTTGACCAAACGAACAAGATCCTGGAAATCGATTTTCACGCGGACTTGCGCTCTATAGAATTTTCCCGATAAGTTTCCTTGGTTTTCCAAAAGTCGGATAGCCCGGATAGTAGATATAATAAACATGTCTTATTGAGAACATATTGCACAATCGAAAGCACAAAACATTGAAGGAGTGTGTGTTACTTGATTTTGCCTCGGTATATTAGTGGGTTTTTGGATACAATACTATTGCAACTTTTTGTTTTTTTGGTATGTAGTGTCATTTAAATCTAATATTTACGTATGTATATTTGTGATAGGTAGGTACCTTTGCAATACTGCTGAAAGGTGTCTGTAGCTTTCCAAATAAAATTATTCCTATACTAGCTTTTTTCTAGATAAATATCGTTGATCTAAATATGCCAAAGTTGATGGTTTCAGATATTTAGAGACCGCTATAAAATATTTTTCAGTTTTTCTTATGTATAAGAATGCTTAGTGCCTATCACCTACTTCTTTATAATATTCCAATGATTTAATGCTTTTGATGCTAAAATTCTATATTTGGATCAATTTTGTCAACTTATGAACATAGGTAATTATTATATGAATTGAAAATACAAAATAATAAAAAACTAAGAAAAGTTCTGGAATGAGGTTTCTTAAAGTTTTTAATTTATGCCAAGAGGGCCAAGAGGCAGTTTTTTATTTTAATTTATGCTAGTACGAGTCATTTAATCAAGCTGCTAAGCTGCTTGAGGGTTGCCGGTTGCCATAATATGTAAATTTATCCTAATTAAACTACCATTCGTCGAAGCCAGTAAATTAACTTTTACAGTGTGAATAAAACTCAAATAATGTAGATAGATATGCATCAATATTGGCAATATGCATTTTGAGTAAGTATACAGTACCTACCCATAACTTATTTGAACAAGTGAACTCTGATCACTAAAAATTATGGAGGAGAAACATGTCATTGAAGTTAGGAACAGATTTAGAAACGAAACTCATGTTTTTAGAGACAACCAAATAAGTGTAGTGCCACAAATAAAATAAATTGAAAAAACATTCTAAAAGATTCTGTAACCTTATGGAAATCGGTAGAAATATTATTGGGGGTGAACCACGTCACAAACTGAAAAATAACGCAGAGTTGAAGGATATAGATTTCCGCCCCAAAAATGTAAATGAAATCAGATATCATACATACCAAAGTTGGTATATATATTGCTTGAGACGCGAACATACGTACTTATGAGTGGAATGTGGAAAAAGCATAGGTTTATCTCGAGGTTGATTAGGGGGTGGGGGGGAATTAAACCCCAAAACTGTAAGAAAGCCCAAACAGAATTTTGTAGCAGCTCCAAAGTTAGTCAAAATATTGCTCAAGTAGATACGAGTGAAAATCGAGGAAACACATGTTTATCTCGGGGTTGAAGGGGAAAATTCAACCCCAAAACTATAAAAAGTTGAATTTCCAATTCCAACCTTCAACCCCGCGATAGACATATGATTTTCAATTCGTCTATCAGATCTTTTCAAGGAGTTGTTCCACTAACTTTGGTGCTGCTTTGAAATTTTTCAAAAAAGTTTGGTTTTCTTACCGTTTTGTAGTTTAATATATCGGGTCTTCAAAAAAAAAAAAACCAATCAAAGATTGCTATGGTTTTTTAAACGTACGTCTTAGCAATATTTTTCTTTAATTTTGACAATGTCAGTTAATGAAATTTAATGTCAAAATGTCATGTCAAAAATGCTGGCCAATAAAGAAACAATAATGCGACGTACGTTTTCGGAACCAAAGCAATCTTTGATTGATTTTTTTTTTGAAGACCCGATATCTCACTCGTATGCGTATGTTCTCGAGCAATATTTCGAAAAATTTACCCCTGCTTCAAAGTTTTTCAAATAAATTTGCCTTATTTTCACAATTTTGGTATTGAATCTCTCACATTCCAACCCTACATGCAGGATATATCCCAGGGAAAACAGTCCACCCTCACCATGAAAATCTTTGAAAATAAATTTTATATACTGAAAACGGCCAGACACATCAAATTTAATATTGAGGGGGTATGTTATGACATAAACCTGCGTGTCTCTCCCTTCATCCCCCTAACCACTAGAGCCACCACAAGATTTTTTTTTAATGGGAACAGGGGTTGAGTGATACCTTGATGTGTTCCTCGATTCGTTCTTAAGAAATATGGATGGTCGAGTCTGAATATTAATTTTAATAAAAACCTAAAAAGCTTACAATTATTTTATTAAATGTTGACATTGTTCTCCATTGACCTCCATACAGAAATACAATTGTTTTTTTTTGTGTCCCCGCCATAAGTAAAAATCCAAAGGCGTAAGATCGGGAGATCTAGCAGACCTGCAACAAACTGAATTACTTAAACAAGATGATAACCTTCTAGAAAATGAATTGATGTTTCAGCAAGATGGGACACCTCCGCTTTACGCTGCTCCGATTCGTCAGTTTTTGAAAGAAGAATTTCTTAGACGATGAATTCACCGGAGAGGTACCGTTAAAGGATGGCCTGCTAGATCTGCCGATCTTTTTCCATCATTCAATAAAATAGGTAATTGTAAACTTTCTATTTTCTTCAATACAATCCAATACAATTAATGATTTGAATTCATAATTTCAATCATTCATATTTCTTAACGAACCAATAAAAATATAAAACGAGAACAGGGTCATGTAGATGATAAAATTACCTTTTAATCAAGGGATCACTCAACCCTTCTCCCCATTTGAAAAAAATCATGGGGTGGCTCTCGAGAGTAGGGGATGGAGGGCGAGAAACGCAGGTATATGGCATAACATAATATGCCCCCTAAATATTAAATTTGACATGTCCGCCGTTTTAATTTCAAAGATTCTCAGGATCGACTGTTTTCCCTGGGACACCCAGTATATAAACATGTGCTTTTTTTGATATTTCACTCGTATCTTCTCATTGTTCAATCAGCATTTCGACTAACTTTGGAGCTGCTAAAAAATTGTTCAAAAATGAAGAAGTTTTGTTTTTTTTCTTGTTGTTTTGGAGTTGAATTTCTCCTCTTCAATCCCGAGATAAACATGTGCTTCTTTGATATTTGACTCGTATCTTCTCAAGCAATATTTCCACCAACTTGACAAACTTGGTGGTGCTACAAAATGTTTGATATCTGAATTCAATTATATTTTTGGGGCGAAGGGGATAGATTCCGCCGAACCCCGACCTGGATAAGTGATTTTTCAGTATGTGATGCACTCCTAATAATATTTCTACCAATTTCGATGATGTTCCAGACAGGCGCGTAGCCAGAAAATTAAGATGGGGGGGTTCTCGCTATTAGAATTAAGAAACATTGCCTCACTATAGGGGTGACAGAAAAAAAAAATTGCGCTGCAGGCGAAAAATTTTGTAGACTTTCAAGTTCAAATGATTTATATGAAAAGAATAAAATTTTGAGGGTGAAAAATGTGTCATTTTGGAGGACGGACGGATCCCTCGCCTCCCTTTATTATAATTTTTAATTTCTAATAATTTCCAGTAGTGATTTTTAATTATACTTTCTGATCAAGTGGTGGGGTTTTAACCCTCAAAACCACGTGGCTACGCCCCTGGTTCCAGAATCTTTTAGAATAGCTTTTTAGATTTATTCAGTTTGTGGCACTTCTTATTTGGTCGAATCTTAGAGCAGGTAAAGCGCTGTCCTACGTGTGGAGAACTCACATTGCTTCAGTTTACTAATCACTGGTTGCTAGCAAGTAATAAAACATGCAATCCGTTACTGCTGTGATAAATTCCATTTTTAATAATATTCTTCGTCATTTCAATACCATTCAAATGGATAAATGAATTTGGGATGCCGTTGAGAGCAGAGCACCATGAAAGTTATACAATTGCATTTAATAATAAAAATAATTGAACATAATAATAATTCATATTTCCATAGAGAACAACAACAAAATGCACAGTTGACAACCAGAACCTATTTGATAATAATAATTATAACTAATACAAAGTTCACAAGCAGCGCAGGAAAGTTACGTTGGGAAAGCTCCCAACATGCTGGGGGCCTTGAAGTTTCACTTGCTGAAACTACAATAGAAATTGCAAAGTACCCAGCAAAAAAAAAACAATTCAATAGACCATAAGCCTTGAAGTATATAATAGTGACTGCAAAAGTCTACCATTTGTGAGTGACTAAAAAAGTCTTAATCAAAATCAATACAGATGACTACGAAAGTCTTTATTATTATGAATGACTACGAAAGTCTTTAAGAAATGCGACTACGAAAGTCTTAACTAATATGAATGACTACGAAAGTCTTTTCAAAATATGACTACGAAAGTCTTAATTAATATGAATGACTACGAAAGTCTTTCCAAAATATGACTACGAAAGTCTTGATTAATATTACTGACTACGAAAGTCTTTTCAAAATATGACTACGAAAGTCTTAATTAATATGAATGACTACGAAAGTCTTTTCAAAATATGACTACGAAAGTCTTAATTAATATGAATGACTACGAAAGTCTTAATTCATATGGATGACTACGAAAGTCTTAATTAATATTGATGACTATTGAAGTCAATAAACCTAATATCAGGAAAGTATAACTTAATAAAAATGTACATAATTTACGAAAATCATTAAAACAGAAAATAATAATAATAAAAATAAATTTTAATTTATTGGCAGGACAGCAATTTTAGTCACTGACCTCAGATATTTACCTCCTTTGGTTAGGACTTCAACCACCCTCACCTTACCATCTCTACCTTGGAAGGTTTTAATAATTCTGGCTACTGGCCATCTGTATGGAGGACAATTGTCTTCCTTTAATAAAACTAACATATTTTCTTGAAGATTAGATACTTCATTGCGCCATTTAGGACGATTCTGTAATTGCGTCAGATTAGCAGAATGCCATTTTTGCCAAAATCGCTGCTGCATCTGAGTGCAAATTTTCCAGAATTTCAAACGATTTTCAGGATACTCAGTCAAGTCAGGCTCCGGAAAGCTGGTTATAGGAGCACCTATTAAAAAATGCCCTGGAGTTAAATAATTGAAATCAGAAGGATCACTGGACATTGGCACCAGTGGTCTAGAATTTAATATTCCTTCAATTTGAATAATTAAAGTGTTGAATTCCTCATATGTAAGTATCGAGACACCCATGGTTCTTTTGAGATGGAATTTAACGCTCTTAACACCAGCCTCCCACAGTCCCCCAAAAACTGGTGAATAGCTAGGTATA